CACACACACACACACACACACACACACACACACACACACACAGAGACACACACACACACACACACACACACACACACACACGCACACACGGAGAGCAGCCTCAGAGTTTCCACTTTTTTCAAAACGAGCTGCCTCCTCTGCCCTTCTCCTCCTCCTCCTACTCCTACTCCTGCTGGTGCTGGTGGTGCTGCTGTTGCTGCTGTTGCTGCTGTTGCTGCTGTTCTGAATGAATGGAGGGGGAACCCTTGGGGACCTTCCTTCGAGTGGGTCAGACACCCGCTGAGCAGTCCGACCCTCTTCAGGAGAGCTGAGGAAACCCCCTACGGGACTCACACAGACTCCTCCCTATGCTGTGGAAACGGGGGTTTTCAAATCCAAACCAGCCGGCCAGCCAGTCAGCCAGCCAGCCAGCCAGCCAGCCAGCCGAGGCAGCCGAGCCAAGCAAAGGAAGCCACGGAAGTGAGCCACGCAAACACACCTCGCAGGCAAGCGACGTAAAGCAAGCCGAGCAATTTGAAAGCAAGCAAGTAAATAAATAAAGTAATAATACCCCTTGGAACTCTCTTCCACTTGTCATGAAGTCTAAATTTCTCAGTTTGTCTCTTCGTTTTTACTTGTTTTGAGCACCTCACTTGTTTGTCCTCCTCCTCCTCCTCCTCTCTCTCTCTCTCTCTCTCTCTCAAGTGAAGTCTACCTAAGGGAGTACCGCAGCAGCTTGCCCACTCAAACTTGGCCTCTATTCACTCAACTTACTTAACTTACTCCACTTAACTTACTTCAACTGACTGGACTGACATCACGGTCTGCATTTACGTACGTACTTGCTAGACAGGCACCACCTCCTTGGCGACAATTCTCTCATATACCTCCCGGATCTTCAACCCCACTATCGTCTGGAAAAGGCCCGTGCCATTGTTGCTTCCTGGGAAATCCGCATGCCGCAGCATTTGCTGCGTTATCTCCCCGTAGAATTTCGTTGACGTGTTACTTAAATGGCTTTCCACGTAGATCAACTCCTCCAGCTTGTCGAACTGCCCATCCATCTCAAGCACCGACACTTCCTGTCCGTAGTATGTGTCCGGTCCGTAGAAGAACTTGATGCCCGGGTAGGAGCAGGTGAGCTTCCTCCCGCAGGGCACCCACGACACCGTTGACCCTTCGTCGAACAGGTACGCCGGCACGAAGTTCTCCAGCCCCTCCTTCATGATCATCCTCACCCTTAGTATTTTCCCCTCATTGTCGTCGGGAATCAACTGCGTTGGCAGCACCTGTATGACCACGTCGGCGTACTGCTTCTGGGTATCAATGTACGCGTCGAAGTCCGGCTTTCTTGCAGCAATGCTCGCCTTGATGCTCTCCAAGCTGTGCCCTCTCTCGGCCATGTCCCTCTGAATCTTCCATGCAAACTTCACGTCGTCGCTGATGTCCAGGTACACGCTGAAGTCCAGCAGCTCCCGCACCCTCTCGTCGTACATCGGATGCAGCCCCTCTATCACCAAAATTTTCGGCGCCGCGATCGTCTCCGCAGGGTCCAGCAGCCCGCTCACGTGGTTGTAAATCGGCTTTTCCACCGTCTTGCCTTCTTTCAGCGCCTTCACCTGCTCGTACATCAGGTCGAAGTTGTTGGCACGGGGATCCAACGCCGTGACTCCGTGCACCTTGCGACCCGTCCGGTCCAGCGAATGGTAGTCGTCCAGGCAGATGACGGTCGTGGTGTCGCTGATGAGCGTGTTGGAATCGGGGTTGCCGCCCTTGGGAGGGGAGGCAGCACCTCCAAAGACGCTGGTGAGGCGCCTCATGAACGTACTCTTACCGCAGCCGGAGTCCGCAGCGAGGCCAATGACGACGGTTTTATCGTTGGCAGCTTTGCAAATGATGAGGACGGAGATGCGGGGAGATTTGCGAGAGGAGGAGGAGGAGGAGGAGGAGGGGGAGGAGGAAGGGGATCTGCCCTTGGGGGAGAAGAGGCGAGGCTCGCTGCGAAGGAACTCGCTGGCGCGGACATTGGAGCTGGAGAGATGGAGCTCGCTGCGGAAGGCGCCGAGAGGGGACCCTGCTGCGGCAACGACACGAGGCTTGGTGGTGGGGGTGAGGACCGTCTTGGGCGTGAGAGTGGAGGAGGACTGGCTGGCTTGCAGGCCCTGCGCAGGCGCCGCGTAGCACGACGCTCTAGCCGCCGCGGCAGTTGCAGTGATGGACGCCATAGCTGGCCAGCCAAGTTCCTGCCTTCGGCTAGGGGCGCAGCGAGACGACGACGGACCTGCGAAGCGGAGGAACGGACGGATGTGTGAGGAGATGAGACGGGGGTGAAATGGCCCGACTGGCTGGACGGATGCGTGGGTGGTGGAGGAAGACGGACGGGAGAGAAGGAGAGGAGGAGAGGCGACGTATCGCGAAGAGCGACGTGTCGAATCTCGAATCGTGGTCCGTCACCTCTCGACCTGACCGTCGTCCAGTTCAGATAGCGATATTGCATGCGTGCGAGCCTGTGTTCGCGTGCCTGCTCGCGCGCGCGCACGCCCTGCCTCAGAGAGTTCGGCAGCGGCAGGAGAGAGAGAGAGAGAGAGAGAGAGAGAGAGAGAGAGAGAGAGAGAGAGAGAGAGAGAGAGGATGACAGTGGTGGCTGTTTGTGTGCAGCCAGCCAGCCAGGAACCTCTTTTTTCCTCCTTTTTTCCCCTTTCGCTTGGTTGAAGCTCTGGATAAACAAAAATCGGAGAGCCTCTTTGTCCACCAACCTGCTGCTAGTTTCCTTTCCCTGGTGCACAACTCAGGCCATGTCGTCCACAAGGCTGTCTTCCACTTCTTTCCTTTCTGCTTTTTTGTTTTCATTTCTGACATTTTCAATCACAAAAACAAAGGCTCCATTCGATTGTGGAGAGCCTCTCTTCCCTACTTCCCTCCCCCTCCCAAGACCGCCACTAGTGATGTCGGTGGGGTCTGCACCTACCACACAATGAATGAATGAATGAATGAATGAATGAATGAATGAATGAACGAAACTCGCTCGCTCACTCTGCCACCTCAATCTCGGGGAGGTCCCCTTAGAATGGCCGGCCAGAACTTCGCTTTGGCTGGAAAAGATGCACTGCCTGTCTGTGCGAGCTCAGAGCAATTTTGTTCTAAACTTGCGGCCCTGCATTCAAGCAAAAAGGGCAAGCTTTCAAAACCGGAGGTCGAAGTTGGAAGACCAGATCTTTTCTGTGGGAGCCAATACAGGGGCATGCCCTCTCCTCTCCCCCCCCCAATGTATTTCAAGATGAGACGCTGAACCCCTTGTCCAGCGAGTGTCGTCCCTCACTGAAAGGAAAGGTCATCTACAAGGGCCGAGCCTCGGTCTGGAGGTAGCTAGCTATTATTGGCCCAGTCCCCTGAAAGGATGGGTCATCTACTGAAAGGATGGGTTGTTCAGCTCACTGAAGTTTTGTGTGGGAAAGAGAAAAGGGAAAAAAGGCTAGGGAAATCCCCATATTCAGGGCGACGGGTCAGCCTTTTTCGTTAGCCAATCGTCCAACTGAAAAGTCTAGATTCATCATTCTTAAACCACCCAGCTATAGATGCCAAGCCTGAATATGCCGAGCCTGAATAATATGCCCTGCGTGACCCGCCAGCGAAACAAAAACAAAATTGTTTTGGCCGGCGGTGTCAGCCTTTCAGGTCCGGTACCGCTAGCCTCCGAAAGTTGCGGGGCGTTAACGACAACGCCCCGCGGCCGACAAATGGGCCAAGTACTGGTGGTTTAAACCTCCACTGCACGGCCCCAGCCTTGCAGAAAGTTTTTGTTGCCAAGAGGGTTCCACGCTGACACCCTCGGGCCTATGTATGGTGTACTGGTGCTTTAAACTGCCAGTACGTTTCCCAGCCATTTTCCAGAAATGCTCCGTGGATGCCGGCATGTAGGGTGGGATGTACCAGGGTGCTGTTTTGCCAGAAATCCGTCCAGGCAAATTAGGCCTGCGATGCATGCGACCCATTTTGCCTGGATGGATTTCAGGCGAGACGGCACCTTGGTATGGATTTCAGGCGAGGCGGCACCCTGGTACATCCCACCCAACACACCTGCATGAGTGGCACATTTCTGCAAAATCGCTGGGAAAGGTTCTGGTGGTTTGAAGTTTTAAACCATGTGTATGAGGTCCCTCCTCAGAAACTTGCAGCCATACACGACTGGGGTGTGCTTTCAATATACCGGCCTGGCTGTGAAAGGTTTGGTTCTTTCGGCCAAAAAGAAAATAGGCTGTACTGGTGAGTCCAGTTTGGCCAAATTTCTCAAACGTCCAATTCCAGGTTGACCAATTTTTTAACTCTAGTATCCAATTTGGCTATTGTTCAAACTTCCACATCCTTTTCGGGCTTGTTTCAAGCTTGATGGTCAGCTTTGGCCAGGTCTCTCACTACCAAAGGGACAGCTTTGACCAGGCTTCAAAGTTCAAACTTGGCGGTCAGGCTTTTTTTTTTTTTTTTTTTTTTTTTTTTGGGACAAAAGCTCCAATCTATTCGTGGGGAGCATCACGTGCTGAGAACCGGGCTCAGCGTCCCTTTGAAGTACAACTGAGAATATGTAACACATTTGAAATTCTGGGGCCATTACCCGACTTCGACTGAGAATCAATCTGAGAACTATTGAGAACTATTGAACAAATTCAAGAGAATTAAACAGAGGTTGAAAAACTATGGGGCTCGTTCGATACTCCTTGGGGTGTCCTCGGGGCCGAAGGAAGTTTCCTCGGGGGTTTTCAAGGAAATTCCCGCCATCGTTCCACCTGTCCTCGGGGACGTCGCCCGAGGACATTTCCTTCGAACGATGTCAGACAAGAAAAAAGAAAAGAAAAAAAAATCAAATGTGTTTGAGGCCTTCAGCCAATAGGGTGCCGCCACGATCCAGATTCTCGGTTGTAACGTCTCTCTACCCATGTGCCCGCTCCTCTCCGTGAAACGCGGATTCCTTTTGCCCAAAGGACCTCGTGAGGTCCTTTGGGCAAAAGGAAGAAATGGTTGGGGAATCCTCGGAGCCCAAGGAATTTCCTTCGGAGTGTTTTCACTTTTTTTTTTTCGACTGCATCCCCGAGGATAGGTGGAACGAACAATTCCTCGGGGACATTACGCGCCCGAGGAGTGTCGAACAAGCCCCTATGAATGACTACTGACCTCTTTTCAAATGCTCAGAACCCCTAGACTCCCAAACAAAACTCTCTAAAACTCCCCAACATTGTCTTATTCCCTGTCGATCTCTCCCAGGCCTCACACTCCCACTCGGCTAGGTTACAGAGCAACACGACTCGCCCCAGCTCCGGCCAATGTTGTCCCAACAACAACCCTTGGTTGTCCCTTGTTATGCACACCCCAAAACATCCCCAGATCTCTCTACAAGGCCTCACGATCTTGCAGTCAGCAGGTTACAGGGCAACACCCCTGCACCGGCCAGCATCGTTCTGGCATCGAACAACCGCAGATCCATGAATGTACCAGTATCAAACAGCCTAGAGCGAGTTGCTAGAAGTCCCCAGAATCCTATAGCATTCTCTTTTTTTTTAGAGCACATACAGAAAAAAAAATTGAGATACCGGGACGTCAACCCGACTTTGTCTGAAGAATAAGATCATGAGAAATTACTAGCCTATTCGCTGAAAAGGAGTTTTGGAAGCAAAAATCGTCATCACAAAGGTCCTATAAATGCTAAAAACCCTCGGAATCCCTAGCAAATCCTTCTAAAAATCTCCAGCACTGTCTAACTCCCTACTGAGCTCTTCCAGATCTCACACCCCCACCCGCTCGGGTTACAGGGCAACACGACTCACCCCAGCTCTGACCAGCGTCGTCCTAGCATTAACCCTTAGTAGTTGTCCCTTGAAATGCCCACCCCAAAGCAGATCTCTCTACCGGGCCTCACACTCCTGCATCAGCAGGTTACAGGGCAACACCCCAGTACCGGCCAGTGCCGTTCTGGCATCGGACAACCGCAGATCACTGAGTATAACAGTAATGAAGCCTCCTAAAATGAGTTGCTATGGGTCCCTAGAATCACAAAACATTCGTAAGACCACGGTTTTTTAAGATTTGATCACGGAAATATTCGGAATGAAAACCACCTACCTTTAGTGACTATCAGCAGCTCAACCCTATCCGCCTCTCTCCTGTACCTCAATACCCAATCTCTACCAGGCATCCCACCCCCAACTGCTAGGTTACAAAGAAGCACGACGCACCTCAGAAATCCCCCCACCTGCTAGGTTAAAAGGCAAAACAACCCGCCCCGGCTCCGGCCAACGTGGACTAAGTATCAATTTGCCAATAGACACTAGAGTGCCTTCCACCCTCAACAACTCCCCAGATCTCTCTACCAGGTCTCTTATTCCCGTACTGCTCGGGTTACAAGGCAGCGCGACCAAGCCCTAACACCGACCAGCGTCGTTCTGACCTCGTCCATTCGTGAACCACTAGGACAAAAGACATCAACAGATATCAGATAAGCCACCAATCGTCGCCACGACTGTAGTTTTGATCATTCTCTCTTTCAAGCATTGGTTGCAAACATTCAACGAAACCTTTTCAACCTTACTACGACAAGACTTACTGCGATAGAGCCACCATCTCCACCGTTGTTGTACCCTTTTTCGCCCTACTAGCTAGTCCCTTCGCCGCAGAGCGCATTATCTCCAACCATCACCGCAAGCACAATCCACTGCAACCAGCACCAAAATTATGCCGATTTTTTCAGTTGAAACCTCCAAAATAGAAAAGAATTCAAAGAACACAGATACACCACGCAGGAATCATAACCTAAAAAGGCAGTCAACACCTATTATTCTCACAGGGAGAGAGAGGACGGGAGGGGAAATTCTTCTTTCCCCATGGAAACTCCTACGCCTATTCACGTCTCAGATGGATGTAAAAGTGCTCACAAGAAACCGAGCGGCTTACTCCTCCCCCCCCAAAAAACAAACTCATGTCCTTTCGCTACCTCCGCTGGAAGGCGCCCCTTCACCTTCTCGCCCCTGTTCAGAACAGGCCTCTAATTCACTCCAGCTCCCTCAGCAGCATGCAATAACCCCTAGAGCATGCCCCCGCAGAGCTGAAGATCCCCCCTTCCCTCGTGTCCCACCCCCTCCAAGCTATGAAACACCAGCGACGGCGGTCACCGCGGGCATGACAGCGGCCCACGACCACGACCACGAGGCCGCGCTTATGACCGTGGCCCGCAGCGGCTGAGGGAAGAGGGAGTGGGGAGTGGGGGTTTCTGATTGGGGTTCCCGAACACCGACCATACCCCCTCGAACAAAAAAAAAATTCAGGAGGGTTATTTTTGGTGTGTGATAAAAAAAAAAATAATAATAATAATAAATCTTGATTGTTTGATTGTTATTTGATTGATGGATTGATTGATTGATTGATTGGTTGATTGATTGATTGATTGATGGATTGGCTGATTGATTGATTGATTGATTGATTGATTGTCAATGATTGATTGAT